TTATTATTAAACATCTAAATTTTCGAGAAATGGATTTAGCAAAAATCGATAGCAAAAATCACTCTATTAGTACTGTCCGTTCTATGTGGTCGTGAATAAACAAAGAGAGTTAATGGTTCATAGACATGTGATATGATACAAAAATATATCTTTGAAAGCGCTAACCAACAAATAGGAATTAAATATGGATATTATTGAATTATACTTTATAATATTAATCGCAAATCTAAAATTGTTTTCGAGCATTTTTTAAAAACTTTAACAACAACAAAACCCGCGCGTATACGCGGGCATTAGTCTAGTATGAATAATGAATAATGTCCATTTCCATCAAGTACGGTTGTTTTTATTGGTATCGGTTACCCAAAACTCCTCCCTTTGTTTCAAATTTGATTAATACAAGTGTTAAAAAAGATTATGAATAATGTATAAAATAAAGGGAGAATTATGGGGGTTTATTGGTTCATGTATTTTGATGGATTTACAAATCAAAGTTAAAACTCCCCTTTATTGGATTAATTATTTTAAAATCTTCGTCAAAATCCCCATTTATTCATTCAATGATTTCAAATACTTAATGATAAACATTTAGCCATATTGGACTTCATATATAAACTTATAGGTATATTACCTTTCAAAATTAAATGACTGATATGCGCAGGGAAAACGTAAAAGTATGATAAATCCCCGATCTCTGGACGAGAAATGAAGGGAAGAAGCTGATGATGTCATTTTGTCAAGGGCATATTGTGTGATATTATTGCATATAATATATCGTATACTATACCCAATCACTTCATATGATTATTTATTTTGTTTCAGGTTTTTAATGGTTATTTAGAGCATCTCCAACTCATCCTTATATTTACCCTTAATTAAATACTATTTTAGTGTAAAACTTATCTCCAACCCACCCTCATTTTTGTCATCAAAATAAGGGGGAATACAGTTTTTTCCCTCAAATATAATCTAACTTTATTTCTCCCTCATATTTGATGTTAATCTTTTACATTTGCATAATGATCCTTTAAATTTATATTTTTCTTATTTTAAACTTAAACAAATTATTAGAAAAATATTTATTTTCTTTTTTTTACTAGAATTAATCATGAAACATTATATTAAAAAATGACATGATTTATATTATAAAAAGGATTAAATTCCTATTTTATTCAGTACAAAGTAAATAATAGAAAACTTTAGAAAATAGTAAATTATTGAAAACTAGTATTGTGCCCCGTGCTATGCACGGACTTAAACTTTTATAGTAATGAAATTATCTATAAAATTGAGTTTTTTTTTTAGTTACACATCAATATTGGAATTATAAACTGAACTCACAAACAGAATCCAAGATAGACTGAAATAAATGATTACACAAAACATGGATAACCTAATTACTCCAGACAAAGCAAATTCATAATTAAAAGCAGTTATACAAAGTTATAGATAGAAATATATACAAATGGTTAAGACAAACTTGCTGCTACTGATAAACAAACATCTGCTACTGAGTGAGTTATGTGGAATCACGTGTCGAAATTTATGTATGTCAATGAGTAAGATTTACAAATGGTTAAACACAAATATAACCTTCGAAATACTAAATAAATTTAGCGACAAAGTCTTTGGATAAAATAATCCAATATGAATCTTCTAGACTATTCATTCTAATAACATGAATGTATGGACAAAGTGTTATCCCAAAATCGCCGAGTAGCTTTGGGATGTCTTCTCACAATGTTGCTTCTAAGTTTTGTCCCGTTACTGTCTTTATGCCAACTACAGGTCATTAAAAATATCATAAACACAGGAAAGTAGTTATAGAAGAAACAAAATAAGAAAAGGAAGAGAAAGACCTTGTCGAGAAGAAAATCGATAGAACCATATCGTTGAAAGCTGAAACGATAGAGGTGTGATAGAGCGTCTTTGAACCTGCCATTTTAACCGTAAGAAAAATGCTGTTGTGGAAAATAATTCAGTCACATTCAGAAGAGTAATCCCAAAAACAATCTCAAAACATCAAAATAATTTAGTTATGATTTGGTGAAAGAAGTAGGTGGCTTCTGAGATTATTTCTGGTTGATTTCAGAAAAAGAAAAGCTAAAGCAGACCAACAAACAGATAAAAATCAAAATAACCCAGAATAAAAAAACTTAACTAATTATTCTCACATCTAATCCTTAGTATCTAGAATCACAAAACTCATGATTGATGTTTTCGATAAAATCGTATACATGACTAAAACATGATTTGAAGGTTAGAATTAGAAGCAAATTCGAAATTTCCATTAGAGAACTGAAGAGGAAATATACCAGAAAAAAAAACCCCATGGATCGAAATTGGTTACCTGTTTTCCTTAAAAGTGAAAAGCCCAAGCTACTGTCACAACTTGAGTCTCCATCGGTGCATTTGAGATTGGATCTACACAAAGAAATTCCAGATTCAGAACATGAAACTATTCTATCAATCAACATATGGAAGAAGAAGGAAATCTGTAAAGTAATCTGATTTTAATCATTCAGATCTACAAATCAATATGAGAAATCGTGATGAATAAAACCAAAAACAATTATGCAAGTGAAAATTTGATTAGTATAGAGATACCTTGATTTTAGAAGAAGAAGAAATTTAGTCAGTTCCCTGTTTGAGAATTGAGATCGAACTATATATGTGATGAAAGTGAAATTCGAATTATGAGATCGTGGAAGTTTGAAAAGAGATTCAGAGATCGTGGGTTTTGCCGTTTTGGGGAAGAAGAAGAGATCGTGGTTTTGGGGATAAAGAAAAAGGTTTTTCAATTAAAAAAACGAAAATAAAGAATAAAAATAATAATTATATTTGAAATAAATGAAAAATAAATTATTTGGAATTACTGAGGACACGTGTCGTTCATACAGGCCATGAGGTGACTGCTGATTTATTAGTACTAGACCAATACCCACGCATACGCGCGGGTTTTTCTGTTGTTATAGTTTAAAGAAATATTATAAAACAAATGATGAATTTGTGACTTGTATTTTGATATGATATGTAATATTATAATTCGAAATAAATAAACTCCACAATTTGATTTCAACTTATTTGTTTAGCAATTGAGTTTCAAATATATATGTTTGCATCATACTACATGTCCCCTCAACTCTATGTGTTTACTCATCGTTATATAGAATAGATTCTAGCTCCCGTCATCGCTTTTCGCTGAATCGGTTTCTCCGTATATTAGGATAATTTATACACTCCGTAAATTACATCCAGATACATCCACTTTTTTTTCAGATACATTTTTTCCAACTGCTTATAATATGAGACCGAGAAAGTATTAAATAATAACTTTAAATTGAAGCCGAAGAGTAATAGTTTTGGAATAATTAAGTAGTTTCCGTTATAACAAGAAGTATCTCGAAAAGTGACTTATTACCTTCACACATAATGAGTTTGTACTTTGTATAACTTATAACCTTATAAACTGGAGAAGACAATGAAAAATCAATTTTGGTTTTTTAAATTGAAATTTTTTATTGGCACATGTCATCTTCTCCTGTGTCCATATATGGAGATATTTTTTTTTTCATATATATATAATTTAATAGTGATTCAAGATAGAACTAAAATATAATAGTTTTAAAGTAATAAAGTGGTTTTAATTATAATAAACTAATATATTTAGTAAATAAATCAAATTTAATGTTATTAATTGATAGAAAAATGAAAAGTCATGCCATCTTCAATCATAAGAGTATCTACATGTCACAAATATGGAGAGAGTTGGCCTCTTTTCATATATATGACCAGGAGAGCACCCGCGTAATGCGCGGGTTTTTGTTTTATAAATTAGTATTTTCTGACTTTTTTGTTGTTGTTAAGAATATCAGTTTGTATCTTTTTTGGAAGTGTGATTATACACTTTAAAAATAGATATCAATATTAAGTTTTTAAAAGTATTCTATATTAGTAATATTGTTCGAGATACATTAAAAATATTATTGAACAACAATATTACGAACTCTCAAACATGTTATATAAACGATTTTATCTGAGATAATCCGTAAAATATATACTAAAAAATAGTTGTTATTTACTTGCCAATCGATTTAATTTCATTGTTGTTGTATCATATCTCTTTAAGATTTATCATTCTTCTTTGTAACATAGTCCTTGTGGTTAATTATTTAGTGTAATCACACATGTCAATTTAAATAGAAGGTAATGTGGTATTTGGAGTGTCAAGGATGTGTTTTTTCTCACAAATGGATTGTCTCACAGGGTCATAATTTTTGCATATCACAACAAGCCAGAGAGCCAAAAATATCATATACGAAAAGTTTCATTTGGTAAACAAAAATACTCTCTTCTTCCCTTCTTATTCTGCAAAGCCTGCAATGAATTACCAACCCATAAGCATTGCTTCTCCAGAAATGAAGCTTCAAGTCTTTGCATCTACGTAATTTTCTTTCCTAGAGTGTAACTGAAGAGAGAAAATGAATTTATGCTTTGAAGAACGTTACCCTCGTGATAAAAATTCGAAGGATGAGTACTATTGTATCTCTTGAGCTGCAAAGATAACATAATATCAAACAGATACATAACTAAGACCATATCATTATTGGATCGAAGTGTGATATATCCCCTACACTTATGTTTAATCATATGCCAAATGATACAGATCAAGCTTCTGACAAAGCTCACAAACCAATGGGAGAAGTTGAGATGCATATCCTGATAAATACAAATCGGCTTTTAAACTCACTAACTACTTTGAACCTGATAAATACAAATCGGCAGATGCATATACCATTTCATATGGTATACTTACCTCTTAGTAAGAAAGTTAAGACTACTTATCAGGTAAGATCTGTTGATTCATTATCTGTTCGTAAGGAACGTTCGCTACCATCTGTACTAAATATAACAAATTCTACAGGCTGCCCAAACGAAATTGTTATCTAGAGAGGCATCAGAAGAAGGATCTTAATGTTTGTTCAAAGCTCGTGCCTTCCCTATTTATCTACAGCAGTAGAAGCTGAGAACTTTTCTGCAACTATGAGATCGTTATTACACTTGATACTGTAATCTTCTCTCTTAATAGACAACGTAGCGTCTTCCCATATATCCAGGAAATCAGTCTGTTCAGAGCCACATGCACGTGAAGGATTAATCCAAGAAAAGCCAGAGAATATACATAGCCAAAACATAGGAGTTGAAATGGGAAATGTTATACCGCAATGGAAACTTTGTATGAAGCATGACCACTATGAAGAGTCTTCTCTATATGAACTCCACCTCTGGATCTGTGAAAATAAAAGAGGATTACTGTTACCTGTAGGTATGACAAGAACTTTTATAAATTTCTAATGCTTCAGATTGAGCGAAACTGCAGTGTGTTAAATGGATAAACTTACGGCAAGTAATCTTTCGATTATCATTGGCAAAGACCTTCACAAGCTCCCCAGAAATTAGAAAGTAAAGAAAATGATTGCTTTAAACTACATGAAACTTAATGAAAATTGTAGAGGAAATAATCGAAACTACAGCCAGATCAAGATTCCAGAAATACCACAATGTAGTCTCGTTTTTTTACAGAAAAGAGTTACTCAAATATATAATCTCATTCATATAAAAAGATATTAACCTTGCGGTTCCTGTCATCCAAAGGCTGAACTTCAATAGCAAGATATAAATCAACATCATTAGCAGTGACAAGATAATTTGGCTGCTTCGCTCATGCATTTAAATCCTTTTTCAGTGACTTATATCCATATCAAATTAAAAGAAGCAGAAGGGAAAGAAAAACTTCGACACTAAAGATATGGCAGCAGGAGAGAAATGAACCATCAGTGTAATTAACAGATCCATCTTCTAGATGACATACCCACTGCAAATTCATGAAGAGGAGAAGATAGATTTAGATGAAAGTCAACATATATAAGAAAGCAATTCCGTTATCTATTTAGTACACACCTCAAAACTACAACGCGTTGCTTAACTAAATAGTTTAGACTCTCACCTTCTGATATAGCAGGAGGATGCGAAACTAAATAGTTTCCCTAACGAAGCGCCATCTCCCCACACACCCAGGAGGCAGACCGTTATGCTCTCCGCAGTCGGACTCAAGATTAAATCTTCGAAAGCACATGACGGCGGATGTGGAGCGCCAGGGTTTCCGGAAATCATGTCAATTGCCGCGGAGACTCGTCGGAAGTGTTTGAAAGTGAAGAGTGTGACGGTGCACGGCGTCGAAATGGGGAGGTTTGAGTTGGCACGACGTCAAAAGACTGAGAGGAGATTGGTGAAGATTATTATAAAGGACTGGGCAATGGCAGCGGAGGAGGCGTAAGAGGCTGTTTTAATGGAGGCCATTGAAAGCTTAAACGGTTGATGAAGGAATATGGACGGTCTCGCCGGAGGTCAGCAGCGTGTACGATTCCGTCGAAGGGAAGAATTTGGGCCAGAATTTGTTTTTTGTTTAAAGCAATAAAAAAAAAAAAAAACCGAAAGCGACGTCGTTTTGGAGCTAGAGAAAAACAAAAAAAGTTTTGTGGATTTCGTGTAAAAAGCTGATGTGGCAAGGATGTTGACGTGTCATCAGCTGGAGAGTGTCACAAGCCCTTTCAATTATATAAATTAGATTTTAAGAACACATACATATTATTAAAAGAACAAAGACTAATTTATGGATTTTTTCCCCAAAAAATAAAATAATTGGGGCTAATTTGTAAAACTTATAAATAAAATATTTTTCTAATAAATTTTGATTTAGAATATACCATAGAATATTCCTTTTTAGTGTAAGAAATAAGGAAATACATTAAAGAGAAATATTACACTATTATAATGGAGAGAAAATTACACCCAAGTGGACTTTTTGGGTTATAGTTTACACTTTGAGTGACTTATTGAAAGTGGTGGACTTCCAATTCATGATTTTACTCTATTGTCCTCCCTTTATCTTTGCCATCATAAGATAACTTTGTTTTTTACACTTTACCTCTATATTTTTTTATCTATCTCTTCTTCTCAGAGAACACCAAACGAATGCCGGAAGTCGGAAACTAGAAAATAATCTTGCTGATTCACTCTCTCCGATCCCGTCCACTTCCCCTAACTTCCTAACTTTATCCAACTTTGTGATTAACTAAACCGTCGATTCCGATTCTGGTTCAGCCGCGAAAAGTTATTGAAAGTGTTTTTCTTGAAATCCCTAACGGAGCTGTTATCGTCGGAGCCATCATCGTCATCGTCAGAGCCGTCATCGTCACCGCAACCAAGAGGTGAAAACAGAACGTGTAACACCCAGGAAGTGAAGAGTATTGTTTTGGCTTTGCCTGTTTCTAATAGACATAAACTGATCTTTATGTCCAGATTTATTTGTCCACTCATACTTCTCCACCATCATCTCAATTGTACACTAATGTCGCTATGAACCGTCCAAACTACCCAACTGTCCAAATTTTTTGAATCTTAAATAATTAAAAGGTGGAACAAGCTTCTACGATGGCAAAAGTTTCATAAGAATCATCCACAGTTATAGCATCAACAGTTATAAGCTTCTACGATGGCCTCTCATGGTTTTGTCTGTTTTTAAACTGCAGGAAATTTTTTAGTTATGTGAGAAGAGTTGAAGATGCAACTGGTTTGACGCAGATCGTGAATCAGTCAGGAAGTGCATCAGGACGTATGGACGGACATGTAGCGGAGCTTAACGGAGCTAAAGGATTGATGCTGAGCTGGATGCGAGCTTGTAGCGGTTAAGGACGAATCCAGAAGAGGCGGTAGCTGAGCTGGATGAGGAGATTTGGAATTATCAAGACAAAAGGATATTTCCTATTCTTAGAGAAAAATAAGGAAAGGAAATATTCCTTTGGAGATTTGGAGTAATCACCAAGACACAACCTTGTAGGGTTTGGCGGTTCGTCTATTGAGGATAAATAGAGGACCTTGGCTGCTTGGAAGCGGCTATCACAAATATTGAGAGCTTTAGACTTTGGGTTTAGATCATCTTGTAAGAGAGCTAGGACAAAGGGTTAGGGCTTGAGAGGTTCGAAGATCGTGGATAGATCTGAGAACAGAGTGTTACTAGAGCAATCAAATCGTGGATAGATTGTGGTTGTCAATTCGTTTAAGCAATACTTGTAAGTTACACTTAAAGAATTTCTAGTAATATATTTCTTTGTAGAGAAATCCCTTGTGCCAATTTGTGATCTACTTCCATATCAATAGCCCTTGGTTTTTCAATTGGTATCAGAGCAGTCACCTTGTGTGTATTGCTATAGCAGGTGAGATCTTGCGGAATGGAGGGCTATCACCCAGAGCTGAAGGTGATACTTGATGATGGAAACTACACGTACTGGAAGTCGAGGACGAGAGCAAATATTCAATGTATTGATGAGGCTGCCTGGTACTGACTGAACATGGATGGAAACCCCTACAGTCACGGTTGAAGGAGTGACTACAGCCGTTCCTCGAGAACGCTGGACTACAGCTCAGCGAGATGAATACAAATTCAATGCTAGAGCACTGGCACAGATTCATGGTAGCTGCTCAAAGAAACAGTTTGAGCTGATTCAAGGCTGTACTAAGTCAAAGGAGGCATGGGATATCCTCCAGATCCACTTTGAAGGGACGAGTCAAGTTCAAAGCTCAAGGAAGGATCTACTGGCGACTAAGTTTGAGAATATGAGGATGGAGGAACATGAGTCAATTGCTGACTTTAGCTCGAAACTTAGCTCACTCGTTCAAGAGTCCCGTACCCTGGGAAAGGTATACAAGGATGCTAAGTTAGTGAAGAAACTTCTTCGGTGCCTTCCAGACAAATTCACAGCATACAAGGCTGGGCTAAGTGCAAACCCTATCTTTGAGACGATCTCTTACGACGAGATGGTGGGAAACTGCAGCTACACGAACTGGAACTAGGAGGTGTCAAAAAGGCTAAGGGTATTGCACTCATATCAACGGAGAAACAGTCGGAAGAAGAGCCTGAAGAAGACAGTATCAGTCTCTTGGTACGTCGCTTTGACAGAGTCCTGAAGAAGTATGAAACTGGAAAAACCCAGCCTCGTGTCAACAGTGGAAGGAAGCCTATGACAAGAACGAGGGGGGGTGAGCAGAACCGAGTCTCAGTGTCATGAATGCAAGGGATATGGACACTTCAAGACCGACTGCCCCACTGTCAAGAGGAGAAGCATTACTTGCTACAAGTGCAAAGGAATAGGTCATACACAACAAGAATGTGAGTATGATGAGAAGATGGGGAAGTCGATGATGGGCGTTGCTGATGAAGATTCTGAAGGAGAGTCTGAAGATGAGGAAGAAGTCAGTAACTTTGTCGCATTTGCTGGAATTGCTGAAATAGAAGATACAAAGATCTCTGAGTCTGACCGAGAGGATCCACTCACAGATGATGAATCTGAGTTGATATCCATGAAAGCTATAAGGAAGTTCGCAATGCCTTAGTAGAAGTTGGGAAGGAAAACATTGAGCTCAAGAAGGAGAACACTCGTCTTGCTGCACGAGTTGACGAACTTCAGAAAGCACTTCAAGCCGAGAAGGATCTCAACATGGATAATCTTAACATCGTGCTTGAAAAGATGGATGCAGTTAAACGAGCAGACGACATTACCAAGGAGTATTTTCTGGAAAAGGAGAATTCCAGAAATCTACAAGCTGAATTGGATCAACACAGAAAGCAACTCAAGATGCTGACTGGTACTAAGGAACTCGACAAGATTCTGAGCATTGGCCGTGTAGGGAAGTCAAATCTTGGTCTAGGATACACAGCTGACAGTGTTACAACTAGCAAGAATGTCAAGTTTGTCTCTGGAGGGTTGGCTCAAGGAATGTCCATCAAGAAGATACTAAGACACCAGCTCAGAAACTTGATTCCATTCTCAAAACTGGGAATCGAGGGAAGAGCACCATGGGACTGGGATATGATTCGTCTTCAACTCGCAATCCGAAAGGATTTCAGAGTCCAAGAGGAAAACATCAAGGAAAGGAGTGCTATTTCTGTGGGTCCTTAGGACATATCAGGGCTTTCTGCAACAAGTACTGGGTTAGAGTCGACTATGCATGGAAACGAGGACGCTATCATTGGAATCGTCATCTGAACCAGTTCTTCATCAGAAAATCGGATCTATATCAGAATCCTGCCCGACGTACATCAACCGGTGGTTCAAGACATCGTATCTACTCTAACATGGTCTTGCTTGAAGAAATCGACGAAGCCGACAACACTGGACCGTGGTACTTCGATAGTGGATGCTCCAGACACATGACATGAGTTAAAGAAAATCTTCAAGAATGAAGAAGCTAAAAGGATGAAAGGTCACTTTTGGATGTGGAACCAAAGGGATGATTCAAGGCAAGGGACGAACCTCTGATGAGCAATCACAGCTTATGAATGTTTACCTCGTTCAAGGCCTGAAGTCAAACCTGATTAGTGTCAGCCAGCTTTGTGATGAAGGACCACATACCAGAAACTTGTATGTGGTCCTTGCAATCAAGGAAAGCAAATCAAGGTCCAGCACAAGAAGGTGGCAGATGTACAATCCAAGACTGTTTTGGACTTAGTACACATGGACCTGATGGGACCAATGCAAGTGGAGAGCATTGCAGGAAAGCGCTATGTCTTTGTTCTAGTGGATGATTACTCGCGATACACTTGGGTCATTCGCTTCATTTATTTGGGCTCTTCAAGTTATCACTGAGAAAGGAAGCCTCAAGCGCATACGCAGTGATCATGGGGGAGAATTTCAGAATGAGGTCATGACTAAGTTCTGCAATGAACAAGGCATAGCTCACCAATTTTCGGCACCTAGAACACCACAGATGAATGGAGTAGTGGAGCGAAAGAACAGAACACTTCAAGAAATGGCGCGTGCAATGATCCATGGAGGAAACATTCCTGTGAAGTTTTGGGCTGAAGCAATCAACACCGCATGCTACATCATCAACCGTGTCTACATGAGAAAGGCTTTACTCAAAACTCCTTATGAGTTGTGGAAAGGAAAGACACCTAACTTAAGTTACTTTCGTGTTTTTGGATGCAGGTGTTTCATTCTAAATGACAAGGATCAACTTGGAAAGTTCGACTCAAGGAGTGATGAAGGCATATTTCTGGGTTATTCAGGCAATAGTTCAGCTACAGAGTCTTCAATCTTCGGTCCAAGATGATTATGGAGTCAGTCAATGTTGTTTTTGATGATCGATCAATTGCGGCCATGGGAGACTCTCCAATATTTCATGAACCAGAAGTCAGCGAAGCAGAAACAGAAGCAGAGGAGGTTCGTGAAGAAGAAGAAAAGGTTCATGAGGAAGTCTCTGACACAGCTCCTGATGTAGGTCTCCCACTGACACAAGTTCACAGAAACCATTCCTCGAACGATCTGATTGGAGACATCACTGAGCCACGAAGGACGAGAGGAATCAAGATGAACTATAAGCAGATGGTCAGCATGGCAATTATCCAATTTGAGTGCTTTGTCTCTGCCATAGACCACGAAATCATCGTGAAGCACTGGAAGATGCAGATTGGATCATCTCCATGGAAGAGGAACTAGAGGAGTTCGTGAGAAACGATGTATGGGAGTTAGTGCCACTACCTGATGGTGTGAACGTGGTCGGTACAAAGTGGATCTTCAAGAACAAGACAGATGATGCTGGAAGCATTGTACGAAACAAGTCAAGACTTGTTGCGCAAGGTTACTCACAAGTTGAAGGAGTCGACTTTGATGAAACCTTTGCCCCTGTAGCTCGTCTTGAGTCTATCAGACTTTCTAGGGATGGCATGCATATTGAACTTCAAGGTGTATCAGATGGATGTGAAGAGTGCTTTCTTGAATGGCATTCTACAAGAGGAAGTATATGTAGCCAACCGAAGGGTTTGAAGATCCTACACATCCTGAGTATGTGTATAAGCTCAAGAAAGCTCTCTACGGACTGAAACAGGCTCCAAGAGCTTGGTATGAGCACCTGACGAAGTTTCTGATTGACACAGGCTACGTCAGAGGAACTGTGGACAAAACTTGTTCACACTTGAGAAGAAGAATGAGATGATGATGGTGCAGATCTATGTAGATGATATCATCTTTGGAGGAACTTCAGAGAAGCTGGTGGAAAACTTTGTGAAGAGTATGACTAAGGAGTTCAAGATGAGCATGGTGGGAGATTGAAGTACTTTCTTGGACTTCAAGTGAATCAGACTGAGAAAGGAATTTTATTTCTCAAAGCACCTATGCCAAGAATCTACTGGTGAAGTTTGGTCTTGACAAATGCAAGGAGGCAAGAACACCAATGAGCACCACGACAAAGATTGGAAAGGATGAACAAGGAGAAGATGTTGATGTGAAGCTTACAGAGGAATGATTGGAAGCTTGCTTTACCTTACAGCAAGTCGGCCTGACTTAAGCTTCAGCGTTGGAGTGTGTGTGCTCGCTATCAGGCCAAACCAAAACAGTCCCATCTTCAAGCGGTGAAGAAGATCTTGAGGTATGTCAAGGGAACTGTCAATCTGGGGATCTTTTACTCCAAAGGATCCAACAGAAATCTTGCTGGATATTGTGACGCCGATTGGGCAGGATGCGCAGATGATCGGAAAAGTACAAGTGGAGGTTGTTTCTTCCTTGGGAACAATCTTATTGCTTGGCTTAGCAAGAAGCAGAATTCTGTGTCACTATCTACTGCAGAGGCTGAGTACATTGCATTGGGAAGCTGCTGCACACAGCTTATATGGATGAGACAGATGTCAGCCGATTATGGGATGGAGTCTGGACCCTTCTTGGTCTACTGTGACAACAAAAGCGCCATCGACATATCAAAGAATCCGGTGCAGCACTCAAGGACTAAGCACATTGACATAAGACACCACTTTGTTCGTGAATTGGTGGAAGAAAAACAGGTAGTACTTGAACATGTTGTCACAGATTTACAGCTCGCTGATTTATTCACAAAACCATTGGACTTTAACCGTTTTGTCACCTTAAGAAATTCCATTGGAATTTGCACAAGTGGTTTTGAATGATGCAGGGGCTGATACAGGCACTGGCTCGGGGTGTATAACAAGTTCAGATTTTGTTTGGAGTCAAAGGTGCCAATGAGGATCAGCTACTTTGTCATGCCGTCATGTCACCTCAACATAAGAAAAGTGAAAAGTAAGTGATTCAAAAGCATGTTCAAGGTCAAAAAGCAGCTGAGCCAACTCCAAATGAATGCAATATGATGGAGATGGCTTGCTGCTTCAAGAACCAAAAAGTGATTCAATGAGCATAACAGGAAATGTGATGAACTGACAACAATAGCTCACAAGGCTAAGTTGGTTCATGTGATTTCTCGAAAGACAATGTTTCACAAGAACAAAGTCTGACGACAGAACTAAGAGCTGAATAGGAAAGGGGATGGACTGACAACAACAGCTCACAAGGCTGAGTTGGTCCATGAGCTTTCTCGAAGGGTAATGTTTCACAAGAACAACATCCAACGACAGAGAATGATCACATGTTCTGCCTTGAACAAAATAAAGAGTTTCACTTTGCACATCATTGGAATTAGAGGTGGTGATATGATCTGGGTATGACAAAGTGAAAGCTGCAGGTTGGAATCAGGATGGCCAAGCGCACTATGAATCTGTTGAGAATTTGTAATACATCCTGATGCAAGTGCCGACTCAGTCAATGTCTCCTTCGCTAAAATGAAAGGTATTTAATTTGAGATAAACTGAGTAAAAATGTTTTTAAGCTGAAAAGATGTGACACATGGGATGGTATTGCTTGTTTGGATTCTATTTGAATCGAATTTTATGTGGATGTCACAATTTTATCCTAAGTGTTGTACTGCTGATATTGGTGCTGAATGTTACAGGAAGTCAAGCAGGAGCTCTGGATTTCTAAACCAATTAATCCGGCTGATTTATGTTTTTAATTCCTAATCCGGTTTGGTTTAAGTGGTTTCTCGATGCAGTGAGGTATAAAAGGGAAAAAGGCGAAAAAGGAAAGTCAAATCTTCATCGAAAACCCTAGATTTTTCCCCAAATCGATTGAAGGAGTCAATTTGATTCAATGGTGACCGCGACTCGACGAGGCTTAATCCGTCCAAGTCAAACCGATCCGAGACACATATCGACGGATCCGCCTCTACGCCGGTCCAAATCGACGAACCCGAAGCTCAAACCGACGATTCAAGACCTCCACCGCCGATTATCACGATGATCGACGAAGCCGATGGAGGAGCTGACCAATGGAGATGGTTCTCTTTGAAGGAGAGTCGAGGCCGAGTCTTTCGCTACGGCGGAAGATGAACCGATGGCGGATGAAGAAGCCACGGCGGAGAAACCCGAGGAGCCGGAGATTCCTCGAGAAGCACAGACGACGGCGCGATTCCAAGCTCTGCCGAAACCCTAGCTCCACCGCCGAACTGACGGAGCGACTGAAGCAGCGGTCACTACACCTCCGGTGGTGACCGCACGAGACGAGCTCAACGCCGCCGCAACAGAGATCACGGAGCCCGACGCTTCGATTCCCCGAGAGATCCAACCCGTGCTTCTCCTCCGACACGAGATCTCGATGACTCAATCCCGGGCAACCTTTCGTCTGAGCAGAAGGAGCCGATTGACCCCCCTGCTTCAAATCCGAAGATTCTTTCACCGGCGCTCAATCAAACTCGATACGCTCTCTCGGATGAAGAAGAGCGATGAAGAGCCGCTCATTCCCGGAAAGCGAAAATTCTCAAGAAACCGGACTTCCGCCGTCGAAGAAGATGAAGGAGAAGGCTCCATGCATCCTCCATCTCCAAAGCCAAGCGCCAAAACTCGATCTACTCCGGTGAAGAAAGCTCCGGCTCGAGCTAGTTCACGAGCTAAAGGCAAGGGAAGCAAACCGAGGGTTCCTAAACCAAGAAACCATCATCTCTGGACAGGTTTGCGATCTTTAGCTCTCGTGGAATCATTGGATGAGCGAATTGTGGATCTTAAGCTGAAGCTAAGTGGGGATATCCTGATATTATCATCAAAGGAGGGTTTAGTCTACGGTTGAGGGTTTAGGAAGCTATGTTAGGTCGCAAGATTGTTGAGTTCTATGCTGCGTTGCCTCAACCAGGAGATGATAGTGTTCAGGTGATGATTCAGAGGACAAGTATGAGTTTCACCCACGATTGTCAACGAGTTTCTCAACTTGCAGCCTCTGAGTGAAGAAGAGAGAAGCTTGAAGCAGATGCAGACTCTGTCAGTCTGAAGACATTGGCTCAGTTGTTCACTGCGAATGAGAAGGCAGAGTGGGTCTGAGATCTACTCGATTGGGATGACTCCATGTTATGCATCCTTGGTCATTGTTGCGTCTCACAACTGGATGCCTTCAACTCATAGCAACCATGTGTCTGAGCCACGAGCTAAGCTTATCTACAAGCTATCCTACAGGAGTCGAGTTGATTTTGGTCAGTTGGTGTATGATCAAGTGATGGGGATGAGCAAATCCAACACAAAGACTCTCGTTGGTTGATGTTTCCGGATCATCTATGGATCATTCAGATGCAAGCGCTCTCTCTTCTTGATGATGATGTCCTCATTCGTCCTCTTCACTATCAAAAGGACAAGCGCTCTGGGAAGGAGTACATAAAGAGAGAAGATGAGAAGAAGAAGAAGATGAAGCAAGACAATCTTCTACATCTCAGGTCGACCTACAGCAGCACTACATCAGAGCTACATCAGAGGCTTCATTTCACTGTGGATCTTGGCTCTGTCCGCTTCCCTACTCCTCCGCCAACCAGCAGCAGCGATTCAGGCACTCAGGACATCGTCTACACTCTCCAGACCTTCACAGACGGTTCAGGGCCTTCTCGCCAACCTCCAAGGTAAGTTGAAACTCTGCACAATCTTGTTCCATATGATTTACATCTTGTGTTTTTAACTTGTGTGGTCTCACAAGCAGGGGGAGAACAGGATGAACCAGGGGACGAAAACTAGGACTTATGCTAGAATTGTGGGGGAGCAAAGCTTTTGTTTGTTTTTGCTCTGTTTTAAGTAGTTTTCGGTTCTAGAATTCTGGGGGAGTTGAGAGTTTTTGCTTTGTTTCTAACTCTTTTGTTTTTGGATGTTTAAACTCATAACTCTCATGTTCTGAATGATTTGAATATTTTGAATGTCTAATGATGAAGTATTCAGAACATCCCTGTTTTCTGGTTATCTCTGGTATGTGCATTGTGGATTTGAGTTTTACAGGTGCTTGTAAGACACAAAGCTAAAAAGGGGGAGATTGAAGATGCAACTGGTTTGACGCAGATCGTGAATCAGTCAGGAAGTGCATCAGGACGTATGGACGGACATGTAAGCGGAGCTAAAGCAGGATTGATGCTGAGCTGGATGCGAGCTTGTAGCGGTTAAGGACGAATCCAGAAGAGGCGGTAGCTGAGCTGGATGAGGAGATTTGGAATTATCAAGACAAAAGGAATATTTCCTATTCTTAGAGAAAAATAAGGAAAGGAAATATTCCTTGGAGATTTGGAGTAATCACCAAGACACAAACCTTGTAGGGTTTGGCGGTTCGTCTATTGAGGATAAATAGAGGACCTTGGCTGCTTGGAAGCGGCTATCACAAATATTGAGAGCTTTAGACTTTGGGTTTAGATCATCTTGTAAGAGAGCTAGGACAAAGGGTTAGGGCTTGAGAGGTTCGAAGATCGTGGATAGATCTGAGAACAGAGTGTTACTAGAGCAATCAAATCGTGGATAGATTGTGGTTGTCAATTCGTTTAAGCAATACTTGTAAGTTACACTTAAAGAATTTCTAGTAATATATTTCTTTGTAGAGAAATCCCTTGTGCCAATTTGTGATCTCTTCCATATCAATAGCCCTTGGTTTTTCAAGAGTATGTTTCTGTTCTGGAGATTGGATAAAAGCTTCTTCAAGTCTTCCCATGGCTTCCAATCTTCTAATGAACCCTCCATTGAAGCAAGTCCATGAGGAATCGCTTTAGATTTTGGAAAGGAAAGGCTTTAGATTTTGGGAAGAACGAGCTTGGATAGTTTATTTTTGGATGATTGAGTCCATGGACAGGTTTATGTGGATGATTTGAGTCCATGGACAGGTTTATGTGGATGATTTTGATGATGAAGATGCTGGTGGTGCCTGGAGACCTGCGGTTAGTAAGAGTACTCACAGAAAGTATCTTAGAAGAAAGGCCAAGTGGGAACATTACAGTGCCTTGGCTGAACAAGATATGCAGCAAGATCTTGAAGCTGACAAAGCTGGTGGTAACATGACTGAGAACTCAACTGATGACAAGGGTGCAAAGAATGATGAGGATCTTTCTTCCGTCCTTAAAGATACAAGGTTGGAAGAAGATTCATTAAAGTCTCTCCAAGAAGAGGCGAGTGCTGAAACTGCTTTAAGCGATGGTGAGGATGATATTGAAGCTGAGGGGATCGATGTTGCGAGTGAGGCTGGGGAGACATTTGAGGCATATTCGATGGCAGATGATGGTAGCAGCGAGCAGAGTTGGTCGTTGAGAGCCTTACATGAGTCCAGTGTAGCTTGTATTACCGGTGACTTTGCAATGCAAAATGTTATTCTTCAAATGGGTTTGCGTCTGCTTGCACGCGAAGGAATGCAAATTCGCCAACTAATCAGGTACTCTTTAATGAATCAGATTCTCCAAATTTCTTGGCACTTGTTCTTTGGCATGATTCATTAGCCGAGAAAGATGTCTTACACTTTATTGTGTTTGGATCTTCAGGTGGATCTTGAAATGCCATGCTTGCTACACAACAACTTCTGATGTTGAAAAACTTTTCTGTCCCAAGTGCAGTAATGGCGGCACTTTACACATAGTGGAAGTGAGAATAAGCGAGAATGGCGCCGTCATATCTGCGCGTAATCCACGTATTACAACTCAAGCGACGAAAGTAAGTAGTCGTTCTAAGCAAAAAAACACCTTGTTTTGCTGTCAAACAGAGCCTCTATAGATAGATGATCAATTTCATCTTCTTCCATCTTTGTGCAGTATTCGATACCAATGCCTAAAAGTGGAAGAGACGGCATCACCAAGCATATGATTCTAAGGGAAAATTAACTTCCTCTAAAGTATCTCCATCCCAAGACCAAGAAGAAAGCAAGCAAACCGGTTAGTACTTCATACACAATAAAATTCAATCTATTATGTAAATGTAGTCTTTTGATTTGAAGAAAAAATTTCAAGGCAATTTCGGATTAGTTTGTGTTTCGGGGAGATGAGTGCTTCATATCAGACGATGTGTTCATGAACCATCACAGTGATAGGAAGTCACCATTGCAGCTCCCTGTGAGAAAAGCTTTGGCCATTTTCAGCCAGAAACGGAACCCTAACGACAACCATTACTCTGTTATATGCACTCATAAGCATCTTTCCTTAGCTTGCTGTCTCCTTTTATTTATTACTTTGACAGTTTTCTTAATAGTCCAAAAAACGTCCACCATCATACTGTCCAACATCAAACTGTACAAATCAATAGATACAATAGGGGTAAAGGACTTGGTTTCTGTGTCACTAGACAAAATCGTCCAACGAATCAGTTATCCAACAATAACCGTCCAGGCAATCAAAGGACTTGGTTTCTGTGTCACTAGACAAAATCGTCCAACGAGTCAATTATCCAACTATAACCGTCCAGGCGGCGGAGATCTAAGCTGGCTACTAAGATTCGGTCAAACCGGAGTCTAAAATTCATATGAGAGCCTCGGCAAATATCAGACATAGATTCTGGTGAAATATTACGACGAGTCATCAAAGTTTCCGAGCGGTTATCGGGGACAATTAAATTACAATTTTTTTTACCCAATATTCATTAAGGGTGCAATTGTAATCTACAAACACATATCACATAAGGCAAAAGTCCACCTCTGAACACAAGTCCCTCATTTTGTAAACATAACTCAAAAAGTCACTCAAAGTGTAAATCACTCTTATAATGGAACACTAAAAGTAAGGGGAAAATAAGGGAATACATTGGAGATGGTCTTAGTATAGTTTCCCTAAAATGAGAGAATTAGGCATTCAGCCATATTGGACTTCATATTTAAACTTATAACCATAAGCCTTTCAAAATAAAATGGATTAATACACGCGAGGAAAAAAGTCTAATAAATCCATGATCTTTGGGCGATAAATGAAGGACATAACATGATTGGTCGTGGCTGTAGCTTTGAATTTTTTGCTGTAGAATTTAGGTTGTAGATTTTTTTTGCTGTGGCCGTAGATTTTAGTGCTGTAGAATTTTTATTCTAAATAATTTCTTATAAAATATATAAATTTAGAATTAAAAATAAATAAAATAGATTGAGGAAAGAAACGTTAAAAAAAATATAGAGAATGAGATTAAAGAATGAGAAGAGAGAGAATTCTCAGAGTCCTTAAATTTGTGCTATGAAAAATTTGCTCTGCAGAGCCAAAATATTTCCATATTTAAAATTATGGCTCTAAACTTAAAAAATGAAATCAAAGCTTGATTGATTTAACACTAGTGCTTTAAAAATTATTGCTCCGCAGAGCACTCAGAGCACTTATCAATCACGCCCATTATTGCATATAATAATCAGGCCCATTATTGCATATAATATCCCTTGTACTCTAACCCATCACTTCATATGGTTATTTTGTTTAACTAGGTGGATCGCTCGCGACCCGCGCGGGCATGAGATTTTTTAAAATGGCAATTGTTTGTAATAATAATAATATTAGATCATTTTAAAAATATTATTTTCTGTTTTGAAATTATGTTTCATAATCTTGAATTTATGAAATCAAATTAACTCATATAAATATTATTAAAATGTCTCTGAACACATTGACTATATTCATTGTGAATTTTGACGATGTTGTAATTTTAGAAATTTTAGTTTGAAAACTATTAGACAAATATATATTTGTTAAATTCGTGCCACCTTATCAATATGTGCACATTTCACCATGTGCGCCTGCGCGGGCAAGAGATGTTTAAGAACTTTAAATCCTTTCAATTAATATTACTTTTCATATGTTTGTAATTTGTTTATTTTCCAAGTAAGTAATAGCTTAACATTTTGTTAATTTGATATGAACTTATAAATTGTGAAAGATCTAAAAAAAAAAATAGTTAAATTTTGTAATGGTTGTTTTCTTCTCCCTCTTATTCTTTTTCAGTGATCCCATCTTTTTTTTCTTCCATTTATTTATTCGTTGTCATCATTTTTTTTCCCGCTTCTTCTTTTTAAAATTCCGTTCTTTGTCATTTCTTGTATCTTCATATCCTCCAACTTACTATTTTTCTTTTTCTTTCTAATTTTCTTTAATTCTTTTTACATTTTTTCTTCTTCCTCATTCCCCTTACTCTCTATCTTTATCATCTTCGTCTTTATGACATCATCTTATTCTAGTTTTTATTTATTTCTTATTTGTCTTTTTTTCTCTTCACATTTCATTTTTTCTTCTTTGTTTTCATTTTCCTCTTCGAGTTTTCTTCTTCTTCTCGAAGTTTCTCATCTTCTTTTCCACCGTCTTCTTTTATTCTACTCGTGTTTTTATTCCTTCTTGTCTACGTCTTATATTTCACTTATCAATTCATTCTGTAGTTTAGATTTTCAAGGATTCGTGAAATAGTTTTTATCTTTATATTGTCGAGATCTTTTAAAAATCTAATTAATTTGTGTTGTTATCTTTTGATTATGGTTATGCTTTCATTGTTTTAGTTTTTTTCTATTTGTGAGTGTATTTTAGAATGGTAGATATAAATTTATAATCATTGATTTTTAATTTTGATATACTTTTATAATAATTCAAAATTTTTAAAATGCACCAAAAATTAAACCCTACACCCATCAATATAAACCCTAAACCCAAACTCCACATTATAAACCCCTCCTCCCCCTAATTAAAGAACCTACACCCTAAACCTAAACCCAAATCCACATTATAACTCTCCCCTCAACTTCACACCTCAACCTCATATTATAAATTAGTTTTAGATTTGCTTTTATTTTTATTTTATTTATAAAAGTTTTTTTTTAATGGTTGTTTTCTTCTCCTTTTTATTCTTCTCTATGATCCCATCTTCTTTTTTTTCTTCCATTTTTTTATTCATTGTCATCATCTTTTTTTTTTCTGCTTCTTCTTCATCTTCCAATTTTTGTTCTTCAATCGGTTCTTGTGTCTTTATATCCTCCAACTCACTATTCTTCTTTTTCTTTCTAATTTTCTTTACATTCTATTTCCGATTTTTCTTTTCCCTCATTCCCCCTCTCTCTCTATCTTTATCATCATCGTCTGACATCATCTTATTATAGTTTTTATTTATCTCCTCTTTCTCTTTTTTTTTCTTCACATTCCATTTTTTCTTTTCCTCGTGTTAAATTTTTCTTCTTCCTCTCAAAGTTTCCCATCTTGTTTTCCATCGTCTTCTTTTCTCTTATCTTGTTTTTCGTTCTTGTCTACGTTTTGTATTTCACTTATCAATTCATTCAATAGTTTAGATTTTGTTAATTCATGAATTCAATTAATATTAGATTAACGCATTTTCTTTTTAATTACTTTTCATATTTTTGTAATGTGTTTATTTTCCATGGAAGTAATAGCTTAACATTTTGTTAATTTGATAAGAACTTATAAATTGTAAAAGTACAAAAAAACAGTTAAATTTTGTAATGGTTGTTTTCTTCTCCCTCTTATTCTTTTTCACTTATCACATCTTTTTTTTTCTTCCATTTATTTATTCGTTGTCATCATCTTTTTTTTCCGCTTCTTCTTTTTCAAATTTTCGTTCTTCAATTTCTTGTGTCTTCATATCCTCCAACTTACTATTCTTCTTTTTCTTTCTAATTTTTTTTATAATCTTTTTACGTTTTTTTATTCTTCCTCATTCCCTCACTCCCTATCTTAATCATCTTCGTCTTCTAAGACATCATATTATTCTAATTTTTATTTATCTCTAATTTGTCTTTTTTCTCTTTACATTCAATTTTTTATTTTTTGTTTATTTTTTTCTCATATTCGAGTTTTCTTCTTTTTCCTCTCCATATTTTCCATCTTCTTTTCCATTGACTTCTTTTCTTTTACTCGTATTTTTATTGTTCTTGTGTACGTCTTGTATTCCACCTATCAATTCATCTGATAGTTTAGATTTTCAAGGATTTATGAAATTGTTTTTTTTTAATCTTTATCTAGTGAGATCTTTAAAAATCTTTGTTATCTTTCGATTCTGGAATTGCTTTAATTGTTATAGTTTTTTTCTATTTGTAATGTAATTTAGAAAGGTAGATATAAAGTTATAATCAATGATTTCTAATTCTGATTTCTATAATAATTCAAATTTTTAAAAATGCACCAAAAACTAAACCCTACACCCATCAATATAAACCCTAAACCCAAACTTCACATTCTGAACCCTCCTCCCCCTAATTAAAGAACCTACACCCTAAAGCCCTAAACCAAATCTACATTATAACTCCCCCCTCAACTTCACACCTCAACCTCATATTATAAATTAGTTTTAGATTTTCTTTTATTTTTATTTTATTTATAATGTTTTTATGGCTGTTTTCTTCTCCTTTTTATTCTTTTCTAGTGATCCCATCTTCTTCTTTTTTGCTTCCATTTTTTTATTCATTGTCATCATCTTCTTTTTTTTCTTCTTCTTCTTCATCTTCCAATTTTTGTTCTTCAAACGGTTCTTGTGTCTTTATATCCTCCAACTCACTATTCTTCTTTTTCTTTCTAATTTTCTTTACATTCTATTTCCGATTTTTCTTTTCCCTCATTCTCCCCCTCTCTCTCTCTCTATCTTTATCATATTCGTCTTCTCTGACATCAACTTATTATAGTTTTTGTTTATCTCCTCTTTGTCTTTTTTTTCTTCTTCACATTCCATTTTTTCTTTTCCTCGTGTTAAATTTTTCTTCTTCCTCTCAAAGTTTCCCATCTTTTTTCCATCGTCTTCTTTTCTCTTAATCTTGTTTTTGCGTTCTTGTCCACGTTTTGTATTTCACTTATCAATTCATTCAATAGTTTAGATTTTGTTAATTCATGAATTCAACTAATATTAGATTAGCGCATTTTCTTTTTAT